TGATGCTTAGTGAAAGATGGCATTGTGTGGCGTCTCCTCGTCGAATCCCTAAGTTCAACTCTTCAAAATACAGTTTCAGTTTCCTTTGGGTTCAAGTTTTATCATGTACAGAATCTTTCATATGATGTTTACTTGTTTTTGCCTCCTGAAGGTTGGAAACCTGTTTGGCTCACGTCGCTCTACAATAATCAATATTTATAATGGAGCTTTTGATTCTTCCTCAGCACTCTTCCTCATCATTAAGGTGACAAACGTTCAGAAAGTAGGTTTTTGTACAAGAGTAAAGAGCGCACAGATGCCACTAAGTCTTCTTGTCTCCGCAGCTGTTGCATGAGTCTGGCGTCTCTCTCCACGCTGCCTTCCTGTTTCTGTCGGCCTGCAGCGTCGTCCACGTCCTCAGGACGTTCTTCCTGCTGCCCAGAACCTTCATTCCTCACCCACTGCCTGATCGCTACGCATACGGGTGTGAACAAACCACTTGGTTTGTTAAGCTACTTTAAAAGTCTTCTTTTACTACCGGCATAATAACTTAAATAATTCACTGCGATCGAAATACGACGTCTGTAGCTTCATTTTAATCTCTTTACATTGTTCTGAATAATTTTTTTTTGTACATTATTTAACTTACTTATTTGACACACATGAAAGGGCCTTTACCTTTTCATGGACCGATCTATTTCTGTGTATTTTTCAAAGTTATTTAAAGTGATATTTTTTTATATATTAAAATAGTTAGCAAAATATACAGTTATGAATTACAGCTTTCTGGATTCCTAAATTCAAAAATAATTAAACTAAATAAAATGTTTGCCGAATAGAAATTGTGGTGGTTGTGGGTCAATGTCTCTGAACATCTTGAGGCTAGTAAACACAAAAATACATGTTTTAAGAAAGATAAAACTGAAATTATGATTGACTTTCATGTTTGACTTGTTTTTAATTTATTTGCAGGGTCTCTTGTGGTGCATTAGAGACTATGAGCAATGAGGTGACTGCAAACAACTCTGCACGCACAGGAGCAGAGGGCACACTGTTTACGAAGGACGTCCCTCTCACGCAAGGTTTGCGATCCGTCTTTCTCTGCTCTAGCTGCAGGTCTGTCTTTGGGTTTATTGAGTGTTTGTCCCTCTCAGAGAAGACTTTTCGAGAGTGCTTGCTGTCCAGGTTCTTTGTGGGCCACCTGCTCTGGCTGTCGGTGATGCAGCTCAGGCACTTCCTGTTCATTGGCACCCTGAACCCCATGCTGCTCAGGCTGACAGAAGGAGATTCCTCTCTGGGTGACACCTTCCTTGCTCTTATCAGAAAAAAAAAAAGATTTTAGTCAATGCGTTGTGTTTTTGAAGGTTTTGCTGCTACTTTGCAGTCAACTCTACCTGTGGGATTCCTACCAAAACACTGTTTATTCAGCATATTTTTTTATGTGCATGTATCTGTGCAGTGAGCCGGTACACCAACGCTTTTGCTTTCACCCAGCTGTGCGCTGTGCTGTGCGCTCCCTGGAACGGCCTCATCATGGACCGACACAGGGGAAAACCTCGAGCTGCAGGTGACCTGCTGGACATTTACAGAAATCCTAAAGCCTGAAAGATAAGGAACAATGCTGTGATGTATTTACACGTGATTTCTATGCTTGTAGGGGAGACGGAGCAGGAGGCCGACCTGCGGGCGTCTGTGCTTTCTTTATTCCTGACGGCGCTGCAGTGCGTCTTGTTCTCCCTGTGTGCTTCCGTCCCCTCTCTGCCTCTTCAGTACCTCACCTTCATCTTGCAGGTGCTGAACCGCTCCTTCCTCTTCGGCGGCATCGCAGCCTTCATCAGCGTGGCGTGAGTGTCATCTTCGGCCACATTAAATCTGAAAAGCAGAAAGCGTGTTTGTGTTTTGTTTTTTTATATTATGCAGAAGGTGGTTAAAGACACATTAAACCTGTTTAATTTTTTTCTTAAAAATGAATAGAGGTTATTTTACTCAACAGGGTTTGATTTTGGCACAAACGGAACCCCGTACATTTACCTTTAAAGAGTTCATTTTTATTTGAAGTTGTCTGACCCTTAGTTTTTTTTTTCTTTATGTGTTGATGAGGTTTCCGTCGTGTCACTTCGGGAAGCTGTACGGTCTTGGTATGTCGCTGGCTGCGTTGTTTTGTCTGCTGCAGTACCCCTGCTTCGCTCTGGTGAACGGCGCTCTGGGTGGAGATCCTTTATACGTGAGTGCTGACCTGTCTCTCAGCTAACTTAGCGGTGAGCCCTCCCTCTAATGACTTCCTTTCTCATGTCTTACGTGTGTGCAGTTGAACATCAGCCTGACGCTGCTCAGCTTGCTGGCCTTCATACATCCCCTCTCTGTTTACCTCCACTGTCAAAAACTTGCCTCTCTGAGAGACAAGAGGAAAAACACAGATTTCTCTTCTTGAAGCCCACTGACTGATGGGACAGCGGTCCCCACATGAATGACTGTGCCATTGTCAAACAGATTCACTATGCTGGGTTTGAAAATAAACTATGGGCATAAGCTTTAATTAAATGTTAACCCAGCTGTTAATTGAGCAAATTTTATATACTGCATTTCTCTCGAGTAAGAAATGAACACTTATTGTGAAACATATATCATGGGTTACTCTTAAAATGTTACAGGCCGGATGAGGCTTATTTACCGGATAATTTCATAACAGCCATAGTGGTTTGCATACAATTTCACAGTTTAGCCGCCCTGTTGATGAAAGGGAGTCTGCAGCTCAGCAACACACACAGCTTGTTTCTCCTGTCTAACCCAAAGATCACATGAGCGTAAATCTTAATTCTGCAAAGGTGTTAAAGTTGCCAGATCTGTTTACAGATCCAGGCCCGTTTACAGATTCAACTACGATTAAAAAAAAACTTAAACAAATAATTGTTTTCGGTCAGGAAGGTTGTGTTCTGGGTTTGCCCTATAGTTTCTCTGCCCAGTGGGGCAAAAAAAAAAAAAAACTCTGGTGGTGTCCAGAATGTGTCCTGCTTGAGCAAATACCAACCAACTTCAACTTCAGTGTGGAGTTTAGTCAGGCTGCAGTTGGTAATGCTCAAGATAATGAGGCATGGCTTGACTCCCAGTTTTAGAACCACATTGTGCCAAACTTTCCGCCCCGCAGATGGTGGACCCAGATGAAAAAAGCAACCTGTATCTTGCCGGAAAAGGCAAGCTGTGCATCCTCCTCAGCCACATTTATCATCTTCTAATCCTTTTACTTTGTTCCATGGTTTCACCTCATGTATTGTCGCTCTTACTTGGTGCAAAACAAAAGTTGATTATATGATGTGTGAACATGCTTTTCTTTCGTCTAATAAATTTTTTTTCAGTAGCTGACTAATGCTTCATGTTATTTCTTTCGTTTATAATCTGTCATTTGTGCTTGAGGTTTTGTGTGTGGTGCCTGTCCTTTGGCAGCACTTGCCAAAAGATGAAGGTGAAAAAGATTCAATTCTTGTTCAAAAAGAGGTTTTCAAGTTATGCTTATTTTAAGTTCCACAAAACTTCAGTGCAATGATTTCCTTAGAAATGTCAGGAATTAAATGCCAGATGATTGTTTGCCATGAAACTTATTGCTTGGAGCTTCCTGGGACAGTGAAAGGGCCACTGGACCGGAGCTACGGGAAGGAAACACATTTCCGCCACCTGCTGGCTTTACAACGGACCCATGTTGTTGTTGTTTTTTTCCCAAGGCGTTGACATTTTAGAATAATGTCTTGATTTTTTTTTCTCAGAGAAAAAATATATTAAAATCTGCATTAAACACAGAAAATTAATTTCTCCTCTTCAGGTAGGTCGTTACTCAAGAGTTCTGGTCTGTGAAACTAATTTAAATTTAATTTCTGTTGCATTTATCAGAGCCTCAGTAGTTTCTCAATTAATCTTTTTTTATTTGGATATGATCAAATCTGTAAATAATTAATGTTTAGTATGAAATAATATTTCAGATCCAATAAAGAACACAGACAAATAGCATAGATCTCATATATTAATGCATATTTTATGTTGATATTGCACCGACTGAGGCATTTGTCGAAACTCTAAGATGAAATAAAAGTAACAGATGGGTGCAACATTTACAGTAACAGCATTGTACAATATTCTGAAATACTAGTAGAAGTAACCTGGAATAAAACAAAAACAAAACAAATTGTTTCTCCTTCTTTAAGTCACAACCTTTTCTCTGAAAGAACTCTTCAGTTTGAAACAATTAAAACAATTGCAGAAAACAAAGATTTGTTTTAATAATTAGAGCTCTCTGTGATATTAGTCCAGCAAATAGACAAAATATTTGATAGAAAACCTGTTTTTGGGGGAACCCTTCAACTTAATGAAGAAAAGTTGCACAAAAACTTTTGTGTCTCCAGAGGGAGCTGTGCTAAAACTGATAAAGTGTCTCATGAGATGTTCGTGTTTGAGAAAATAAGTCGGTAAACTGTCAATTATGTTCCATACAGCTTCACATTTCTTTACAAAATCTGCTCTAAGTTACATTTCAGTAGAAAACAATTGTATAAAATAGATATTTATTAGCAAAAAAAAAAAAAAAAATTCTAGAAATAGAAAACACATTTTAAATTGTGAAGTGAATCCTCCATTGAGGAAATTTCATGAATGAGATTAAATTTGCAGGGAGGTGTCGGCTTTTGAGACGCGCTTGACGATCCAAATAAAAGAGATTTTTTTTGGGGGGGGAGTTGTTGGGAGGTTTGTCACTGGGCAGGATGGTCGAGAAAAAAAAATCTGTAGCATGTTTTTTTTTTTTTTTTTTTTTTTTTAAATAAAAAGGAAAACCCCCCCACCAACCCCCCTGGCCCCCAACCACACCCAAAAAAAAACTTGA